TCACTTTTCACGAATATCATTATTCTTTCGTTCATATTTATCAGATTCAACCCAATTGTCGACCAAAAATATAATCGGCCACCGTGTCATTGATTTGGTAAGTGCGCCAATTTTATTTTATTTATTTTTTATTTTTTATTGCTGGACCAATTGAATGTAAAATGTTTTTGATCCAAAAATAAATAAATAAATAAAAATAGCGTATGTAAATAGGTTTATGTTATATTAGTTATCGACCATTTTACATGTCAATTGGCTCATTTTGATAACCCTGTCCGGCTCCACAGTCTATTCGGTGGTTTTCTAGCTGACCATAGTTTATAACTATGCTTAAACAATTCAATCTTTCAATAGGTAATTGAACAAGTTTGATTGTTCATATCAAATATCAGAAAATAAATTAGGAATGTGACTGGATATAAAAAAGTTGAGTGTGTTTTAAATAATAAATATGAAAGAGTAAAAATTGAATTTTACAGAATATCAATAATCGGCCTTGCCTTATGGTGCTTGCCATATTTTGGAGGTTGAGCTTCGAGCTATATTAGATAGAATTCTTCTTGTCAGACGATTTGAGATTTCTAATATTTGGGATGAGACTGACTGGACTCTGATTATTCACTGGATCACCAAGGGTGGAGGGCAATGGACAATTCAAAATACTCTCAAACATATTACACACATCCTCTATTTTGATCGTGTTATTATTTCTGACATATACCATTAGGGGAACCAGGTTGCATATTCAGTTGTTTCAAAGGGTGGGATAACCGTCACTACCAAGAGTATGGACTACATAACCTTCCACGATGACTTAGGGCACTTGTGCATATTGATATATATGGATTATCTACCTTTAGAAGTTTGTAGTTTAGGACTCATTTACTTTCGTTGTATTGGGAGTAGTACTCCCTGCTTATTGCTTTTACTACGTTTGCTGTTTTGTTTCTTTTTGGAGGTCTGATTTATGTCCCCATCCTTCTCCGTACTCTCGTCCTTTTGATGATATATACATCATTGGGGAATTTTAATTCCCAACAATATTGCTTGGTAGAGCCTAAAAACTCATTAAAGATGTGTGAACGGCTTTGCTATTTTAAAAAATAAAAAATAAAAATAAGAGCCTTGGACCAAATGGAGGGTGTTCATTGACCTGCCCAATCCTCATTAGGGGCAAAGTAATCAGTGTCATATGACTGTTTTGCTTACTTGTCTTTCACACGCAGCAACGGCGTAGACTTTTTGGAAGTAAAATAAATTCATTTATAAGTTATGAAAGGACTACTTCTTTGTTAGAAGGAAGAGACAATTATGAACGTAGCCATCGTTGGCTTATTCTCCCTTTTAGTTTTAACCAATATTTAAAGACTACAAGAACCCCAAAAAAAAAAAATTAATAATAAAAAATAATAATAATAATAAATTGACTTTTAAGAATTGGAGTATAATTATAATTAAATTAATTTAATAATTGTAGTAAGGTATAAGAAGTTGACACAAGCTGCACGTTTCCACGTTATTAGTCAGCAATGTTAGGTTAGTACAATTAACACATACAGCGAAATTCTACAAAAAATTATTGCTAAAGCTAGTAATTTCTCAAATAAATATACGACTTTTCAAATTGTTTTATAAATTGACAAGTGGCTATTTATTCAATATATGGATGCTAAATTTACTTAGGATCGACCCGACCTATCTCTAATCTCAATATCTCTCACGTGATCCTGTAAGGTGATAGCTCGTCACTTCGATATACACAAGGATTGACCTTAATCCTAAGAGGGACTAAACGCCATGCATGGACAGACGGGAAGGTCTAGTCGTCCCGTGTTTCCATGAATGGGATAAACCCCACAAATTTGAGAAACTTTTTATATATGATATATAATTAAATTTTTAATTTTATTATATTTTGTGTTTGAAATTTTTTCCATTTGTTACATATGTCCCTTCAATGGGAGGTAACTTGATCATGCCTCAAAGCCTTTATTTCAGGTATTCAAAGCGTTGATCATGTTTATTCTTGAGTCGAATAGAACTCAACTTAAACATGTAAAATTTTAGGTAGCATCACAATGAACCTACATTCAAATTTCCTCAACATGTTCGGTAGATTAATTGAACAATATTAAAAAGATAAAAATAAAAAAATTACGTGAGAAATCAAATAATTGTCTTGTTTGATCTCTTCCATTTCAACGTACTCAAAATAATTTGCATTATTTTATTGTAGTATAATGAAATTAATTAACATATCCCAACTAGGATACACATTTTTGAGTTATTGTATATTTGTATCTTCTAGTTAGTGATGGCACTCGGCTCGGCCCTTTAACCCACGAGCTTGGCTGGAGCTCGTGGCGAGCCAAGCTAGAGCTCGGCTAGGTCCACGAGCTTGTGAGTTCACGAGTCACGAGCTCGTCTAACTCACGAGCTCGTGATTTTTAAATTTTTTGGGATTTTTTTACTTTTTTTCACATTTTTTGACGAGTCCACGAGCCGAGCTCATAGGCTCGTCAAAAATGGTTCATGGGCTCTCGGCTCGTGGGATTGAGCCCCTTGCTAGGCTTGGGCTTGGGCTCCTCATTTGCCGTCCACGAGCCAAGCGGTCGAGTCGACGAGCGCTCAACCCATTTGACATCCCTATTTCTAGTCAATGTAGTTGGGCTGTCCGAATTACATAGCTAGAGTAGTTAGGATAGTTCTCTATTTCACAAATAAAAGAAAAGAAAAAGAGAAAATAACTTACATATTTCAAGAAATGCTATCTTCAAAATTCAAATATACTGCCACCTCTTCATACTATTTAATAAATTATTATCTGTATAATGTTTGCAAAATCATATTTTTTAAATTATTTTATGTATAATGTTTAAAAAAATTTCATTACCTTTTAACCACGAGTTCTTTAAAGGATCATTATTATAAAACTTGCTTTCACAAACAAAAAAAAGGGCTCAAATAGAACCAAAACTTATAATTTTTTCAACTTTTTCAATTAAATCAAATAGGACAATCCAATAAGTCTACGTAGCATAGTGAGAGTAATTATTGTCATTTATTACTTAGTAATTTTGCCCATATTTGGTATATATTAAAAAGTCAATAATTAATTTTAATCACATATTTCACGAGATTTACAACTTTTTAATCACATTCGTCAACATTTATCAAAATTTACTAAAAAAATTGATGTTAATCTACACCAAACATGAGTTGTGCGCGCACTTGCAATGTGATTGTAATCTTGATACGCTATACATAAATAATATAAAATTAGAGTTTTTGACACATTAAATCCAATAAATATTGTTTTGGCAACAGTCTTATGTAATTAAAATCATTTATAAAGATTTCACTTAATCTTGCAATATTCATATTGCTCAAACAAAATTTATTAGAGCATCTTCTACTTCTAATATGCCATAAACAATACCAAACACATTTGCAACAAGTCCATTCCATACAGTTGAAATCTATTGTCCTCATTTGTCCGACTTGCTACAAAACATCGGCACCTCACACTTGAAATTAGTTTTGTTAAGAAAGAGAGATGCAACAAAGTGTCGATGAGATAGTCAAAAGTGTTGCCAAATAGGAGTTAATTGTCCCAATAATCACTGAACTTATTTATAATTTTTCAATTGCTTACTGAAATTTAAAATGTCAAGTTTTGGCTATTAAACTTATTCAAACGTTGGACATTACTGGCATAATATTTGTTTCAAATCTCTAACGGAATTGGTGACACGGCTAAAAGAATGTACAAGTGGAACCCCGTCACATTATTACCAAATTAACACATAAGAAGATGTCTTTCATTGATAGTTAAATTTTGAAAAATGACTTTGATTGCTCACTCTATTTTGGAAAAATGTCTTTGATTGCTTGCTGAACTTTGGGATGATTGAATTTTGATCACTAAACTTATAAAAATGACGTCGACTTGTAGTTCGCTAAAAAATATGTACCGCAAGCACACGTATTGTGTATAAATAATAAAGTGGATAAACGAGTCTAGGTTGTCGATCTCATAATGAATGGTTACTTAATTGCACCATAGTTAAATTTAAGAATTGTGCTATGCGTACACAATAGTGTACACAAATTATTACACCCCCTCACATGAAGAGGAGCCCACATACAATAAAATATTTGTGGGCCCCCTCCATGTGAAGAAGGTGTAATTTATTATGTACGCCTTATTGTGTACACATAGAATAATCCTAAATTTAATTTTAACAATGAAACAAACGATAAATTTAAAATTTGCAAATGATTCTATAATAATAAAGAAAAGATCATAGATATAAGATCTTTCCTCAATTTTATTATTTGATCGTTTCATTATTTGTGTAGAATTTTAAACTATTTTCATTACTTGAAAAAAAAAAAAATCAAATTTACTTTGTGTTTCGTTGTTAAAATTGAATTTAACTATCGTATAATTGAATAATTATTACTCGTGTGATTGACAATCCGGACTCGTTTGTTCACTTTATAATCAGTATGTGACACACGCGCTTGCAGTACACATTTTTTACCAAACAATAGGATAACGTAATTTTTATAAGTTTAGTGACCAAAATTTGATCATTTCAAACTTTATTGAGCAATTGAAGATGTTTTTCAAAATTTAATGAGCAATGAATGACGTTTTCTTACATAGCAATTTGGTAACGACATGACGAGACGTCACATGTGCATTCCATTAGCCACGCCACCAACTTCATTAGAGATTTGAAACAGATGTTATGCATGTTTGGATAAGCTTAGTAATCAAAACTCAATATTTTAAACTTTGACGAACAATTGAACACATAGATATAAGTTTTGTGATTATTGAAACAATTAACTCGCAAAATGACAATTGATATCAACTCACACGTAACTAGTTCGATTGTTAACTCACTCTTGATTTTTCTTTAAATACAACGGACAATTCAAAGTTCTCTTTCCTTCCCATTTCTCTCTCGTGACTTGGTCTAACAAAAACACACACATTCGGAAAATGATTGGTTTACTGAGTATGAGATGGCAATATTTGTGTGTCATCCCCTAATTTTAAGGCTTTGTTTGATCGTAGGTTGCACTGAAGAACATGGTCCACTTTTCTTCCACTACAATATAGATTATCTAATCCCAACGCGTTATTTCACATTCAAACTGCCAAGCCTCTCTTTATTTTTCCGTTTCTCCTACTCCTTCCTCCCTTTGACATTTCGCACTATTAGTCATATATATTTATAACGTTCTCGATTAGTCTTCTTTATTTCTATCTCTCTCTCCAGTTCAGGTATGAATTTTTAGTTCTGGAAATTAATGCTTCTATCGGTTTTTCATTTGTGAATTTGGGTTGTGTTTAAAATTGGGTTTTATCTCTTCTGTTCTTATGTATGATCTTTTGAATGTTTAAGGTAAGAATAAATGAGAAAAATTCATGTGATGTAAAAATTCTGGCTTATGATTCTCTTTTGTTGTATTTCCTAAGTTTCTCCGCTGAAAAACTGAGTCTGTGTTAAGACATAGATATTACTGAAGAATTAGAATTTAACATCTGACGCAATAACATGGGAGATTTAAGGTTGTTTCCTTGTTGGATCATTTTGCTAATCAATAGATTTTATTTTAATACAGACTGGATATATCTATTACAAACTTGAAGATTCTTAAACGTCGTCATTAGTTCTGCCTTCGATTGTTGTTCACATTAGTGAGAAGACACAATTCAGTGGGAAATAATAAGAAGAAACCTGTGTCTTTCGCTGCTTAATCGATTTCAAGGTATATACTAAAATCTAAGTAGAGGTTCAAATTGGTTCCATTGCATCTTTCTCGTTTGTGAAATTCTTTAAGGCCTCGAAATTTATTAAGCGCATTTTGTCTATAGTGAGTACAAATTTATTCGTCAAATTGATTGTCTTGAAAAATCGAAGATCATTTTTAGTCTTCTTTACCAAGTTCATCTCCAAGTCCTCAACAAAAGAGATTAATGATTCTTAGTTGACAAATGAATATGAATTTCTTTATTGATTGCTTACTGATAAATTATAAGAGGAATTAAATCTGCATTTACAGGGATGGATTTTATAGAGACGAATCGAAGGAGCAACACTAGGAAAATTTTCTTAGCTGCCGGAATTACTGCACTTTTTATTTTTCTTTTCAAGCGATCACCTGGTACTGCTACCTCTACCAAGGTATGCCTCTAATTCCAATGTTTGTGATAGAACGTTTACAATTTGTTTGGAAGATAGTACTGGACAGTGTATATAGAGGACAATGCAAAATCTTTAGATTAAGTTCTTGACAAGAAATCATACAATTCTGCAGTATTATTTCAATCGACAACTATAAGTAGTTCCGGATCATAAACTTTTCTCAATCTGATGTTATGAAATTTCATCTTTGCATCTTCAGTTTTCTCAACACGAATCTGGAGTAACGCATGTCTTAGTAACTGGAGGTGCAGGCTATATAGGTTCTCATGCTGTCCTTCGGCTTCTCAAGGATTCATATCGTGTAACCATTGTGGTATGTTCATGGTGGAATTTCATTTCATCTATAGTGGATTATTTCCAAAATGACTGTGATAAAATATTTTTTGTGAAAACGGGTTTTTATTGGCAGGACAACCTTTCCAGAGGGAACATGGGAGCTGTTAAAGTCCTCCAAGAACTTTATCCCGAGCCCGGGAGACTTCAATTTATATATGCTGATCTTGGAGATGCAGCATCAGTATCCTATTACAATTTCTTGCACTTTCATTCTATCATGTCTACTTTATTAATTAGCTCTATGAAAACCAGTTTTTTGGCAATTTCATCCCTAACTTTTATATCAGGTAAATAAAATTTTTACAGAGAACGCATTTGATGCTGTCATGCATTTCGCAGCTGTTGCTTATGTTGGCGAAAGTACAGCAGAGCCTCTAAGGTATTTTGTACTCTTCGACTTTCAGCTCTCATTTACTTATATATCATATTTGCTTATGATGACACTTTTTCTGGGACTTCCATTATCCATTGAAAGAGAAAAATGTGAGTGGGTCCAAGATCTAGACATGGACTGTGCAGGTGGTGCTGCGTCTAGGCTGGGCCACTATCGACCTTATTGACACCTCTATACCCTGTTTGAGTCCAAAGTCTCGACCCTTGCTACTTGAGCACTACAAAACTTATCGACTTGCTAAGGATACTAAGTTGTTCCGTTCCTATTGCTACATGTTTCTTATATTGGTATTGTGTGGTCTGAGTGCAGGTACTATCATAATATTACTTCAAATACCTTGTTAATAGTGAAGGCAATGGCTGCACATGGTGTAAAGACATTGATCTATTCAAGCACTTGTGCTACGTATGGAGAACCGGAAAAGATGCCTATCACAGAAGTTACTCCTCAAGTTAGTACTCAATTCACGCGTTCATCTTGCCCTTCATGTCCATAATTTCCAATTAGTTGAAGTTGGTTAGAAAATAGCATCTGATTAACTGTTTTGAAACTTCAGGCCCCGATCAATCCATACGGAAAAGCCAAGAAAATGGCAGAAGACATTATATTGGACTTCTCAAAGACTTCCGACATGGCTGTCATGATTTTAAGGTTTGTACATCGTACACATCACGGACTAATAGTTAACCTAAAAGGGTATACAAATTTTTTAAAAAAAAAAAAAAAAATGATAAGTTAGTAACGAACTCTGTGTGGGTATCTCAGGTACTTCAATGTAATTGGCTCCGACCCTGAGGGAAGATTGGGAGAAGCTCCTCGATCAGAATTGCGTGAACAGGGACGTATTTCAGGTGCTTGTTTCGATGCAGCCAGAGGAATAATTTCGGGATTAAAGGTACACAATTTTCTTGATATGGTTTCAAATTTTGATCCAAGAATGTTAGGATCTCTGAAAAGAAAGCTATTCATGCAGATAAGAGGGACAGATTATAGCACACCAGATGGAACTTGTGTAAGAGACTACATTGATGTTACTGATCTGATTGATGCACATGTCAAAGCATTAGCCCATGCAAAACCAGGCAAAGTTGGAATTTACAATGTTGGGACTGGAAAAGGTAGTTCAGTAAAACAATTTGTGGAAGCATGTAAGAAGGCTACTGGTGTGAACATAAAGGTTGACTACCTAAGTCGTCGGCCGGGGGATTATGCCGAAGTATATAGCGATCCTTCGAAGATCAAGAACGAGCTAAACTGGTCGGCTAAGTACACGAATCTCGAAGAAAGCTTAGCAATTGCTTGGAGATGGCAAAAGACACACAGAAATGGTTACAACAATTGAGTTTGGAGTTAGTTCCATTTTGTTATAGTCTTAGCAGATTAGTTGATGCTATACATACAGGTCATTGTTTCGTCGTATGTCGTTCGACAAATATCAAGACAGTGTCGATCGAGCTGATATCGTGAATTTATATTAAGATGGTGATTAATCATGAAATCTAGAGATGCAATAAAAGGAAGACAATGAAGTGGAATTGTTCTTAACTTTGACTAAGTTTAGAAGTTCAGAACATTGATCCTTATACCTTAATCTAATCTTGATCAGAAATCCAAAAGTTAAGCAGAATCAATCTTGAAAATCAACCTAACCAGCCTGGAAAACTGAAGGATTCTCATTTTTAATCCTTAACTTATCCATAATGTCGGAGAGCCAAGAATCTTATTACTTTATATTTTACAAGTATTCACAAATCCAATTTTCTAAAACCAGATATATTGATGTCGCATCTCGCTCATTGATGTGTCAAAGAACCCAAAGACGTGAACATTAACCATTTAAGATTAAGATAGACTCGTGAAATTTAATTAATTCAAGTGGTCCAAATCACTTATAAGCAATATAGAAATACTAGATATGTAAATATCAAGTACCTTCCACTCACAATTTTAAAATTGATTTTAAACTCTAATAAACTTCGTGAATTTGAATAGATTTTCACAAAATCTCATAAAAAAAATGGTGAACTATTATGTATATTTTTAAATTTGAAATTCATTCAAATCTTTTGAAATTTCTTTATTAATATTTTTTTTTTTTTTTATAAATCCAGAAGATACCTGAATTTTAAATAATTTTTATTGAAAATCTCATTTTGTGACACGGGGCTTTAAAATCCATTAATATTTTGAGGACAGCCATTTTACTTCCATGGACCAAAATTTGACACTAACACAGTTTATCTTCAAATCGCAAAATTTTTAGTACCAAATTCTGAAGAGAGAGAGTTGCTCTACATATGAACAGTGCTTGCTTCTCTGCTTCTAGTCGAAATCAGGTTAGTACAGTTAAAGCCGTGACTTCTGGGCAGGAAAGTACCGAAGAAATTGATGAGCTCCGGTCTATGGCATCACAAATCAAACCTGACATGTTAGAGGAAAATGTCGGGGAAATTGCCGGAATGTCAAAGTGTTAGAATTTCAGTGGACTTGGCACAAAAATAAATTTAGAGCAATCAAAATCCGCCACATCAACACCTGAAAATTTCCCTGGAAATACAGCTTATACTAAGTTTAGCAGACATTAGCATGTGTATAAAAAAAGTAGTGCTACAGGTACATAGAAATATACATAGGGTGTTCATAATACAACGTGGTACTCTATCATTTGCCTGTTCAAAACACAATCAACTTTTTCAATCAATCTTTTCTCTCCACGTCACATTATATCATCCTTTATGTACATGATAAATGTACACTTAACAAAATCCTTATAAAAAGAGTAGTGCTACAGGTACATAGACATATACATAGTGCTTGTTCAAAATCCGTATAAAAAATCAACAATGCTATAAGTACAGAAAAACAACATAAATTTTACAGAAATAATACTTGGCAAGTTTTCGTTGGAAGATTTAAAAAAAAATAATAATAATAATAATAATGGGGCCAGCAGGATGCTGAACCTGAAGGAGACTCTTGACTTTTACTTGTGAAGGAATCGTGCGAAGATCATCAGTAATAAAAGATTGGTAGAGATAATATCTATCCCATTTTGTGTAAATTTTCTATATTTATGAAAAAACAGGTAACTAGGTAAGCTCATACATTTATAAATTCCATTTTTCAATCTAGAGTAAAAAATACTGAAAAAAAATAATAATAATAATAAATAAATAGTTACTTGTTAAAGAAGTGACTTACTAAATTTCAAAAAATTTCAAAATAATTAAAATTGTAGAGTTTAAAATGTAGTGTATAAATGATTATTACAAATACAAAGTGGAAACATAAAATCTTAGTGTAAAAATTGAAGCAACCCAAGGCTTCTTCAACACCATCAATGGAGTGTCCTATGATGTTGAGCTCAGATTTTGTGCCACACCGAATCACACGCCGTCCTCCACGAAAATGACAATGGATATACTGACAAAAGGATCCGCCAAAAGCCACCAAGAATTTCGTCGGAAATATGAACTTCTCTCACTTAGTTACCTCTCTACACTCTCTTTCTTTTGCTATGCCAAGTCCAAATGAAATAAGTGAAGAAGTCTTGCAATTATAAAGCCAAAATCATTTGAATTCAAATACAAATATTGTACTACAATCAAGAGTGAATGTGATATGACTAGCAAAAGAGAATTGACCACAAGACTAAATCCAACCATTGTATTTAATCTATGATTCAAAACACTCCTAAACTAGCACAATCCCCTTCAATATCTCAAGACCAATTAATCTATTGTCCAAAACACTTCTAAACTAACACAATCCCCTTCAATCTCTCTAGATAAATTAACTTGTGACATGTGAATGGAATGATCCACCTCACAAAAATGCTTTTAAAGTTGTTTCTCTACTGTTACTGAATTTTGATTTTTATAAATAGTCATTGCACTTTTTATTTTTTAAGGCTTTTATCCAGCGTATGCAGTTTTAACAATTATTTCCTAGAGTTTTGCTACACGTACACCAGGGTTGACATTTCGGTATACACTCTCCTTACATGAGGGATCCCAAATTTTTTTTATTGTTGTGGGGCCCATCTCCTCGTGTGAGAGGAGTGTATACCGGAGTGTCAACCCCGGTGTACAAATAACATTTTCTATGTTTCCTATCATAATTCCGTTCATTTAAAAAATTAACAACTGTCGCCATCTCATCGAAATTAACAAACTTTCAAATAAAAGGAGTTTTGAGTGAACTTATACGAAATTACATTGAAAGCACAGTGACTATTCAATTTTTTTTTTTAAAGTTTAATAATTTTTAGATATAACGTAAAAGTATAGTAATCCTTACAATCTTTCACCAAATAAAAGCAACAAAATTAGATGGAAAAATTATTGGAAGCAAAACATGAAGAAAAATATACTTTAGATCGTTTGCTTAGGACGAAAAGAGAAGGAAAGAAAATATAGTGAAAAAGATACAATGTACCACTAGACGGTTTTCATTCGATTACAATTAATGGCACACGAGAGCAAAATAGTAACAAATTTAATAATTTTTAATAAAAAAAAAAAAGAGAGAGACAAAAATATTAAAGAAAAAGAAAAAAAAAGTATTTTCCTCCAAACACCCTATTCTCGTGAGTAGAAAATTTTATTTTTAAAAGAAAGAAGAATATTATGTTATTTTTTAGAATATCAAAACATTATAGTTAAAATATCGAGAGTCACGTTGAGATTTACTTTACAATTTATTCAATAACTTCAAGGTTGCCAAACAAGCCCCAAGAAGCATCAAACATCGTTAATGAAATCCATGGAACAATTCTTAGATAGCCATATATCGATAAGGACAATTAACAATTAAATCTGATTTCAACCATTATTTTCATTTTTTGTAAGGAAAAAAATGTTCATCCCAAGTTGTTCAAGAATAGTGATGCTGAGTTTTTCGACCTTTTGACTTTAGGAGTTGGTGAGTTCCATTTATCCTATTCGAGCTTATCATCTTCTACTTGAGAGATTCCTTGCATAATTTATCAAATTCATTCTTTCGACCTCTAGTGTGAATTTGTCAAGCAAGGTCTGAAGCACTTGTTAAGATAGAAGTTTCAAGCATTAGTTCCTTTCCCAAAGTCATTGGACCCTTCTATGCATGTATGATGGGTCATTTCTTCATTTTGAAAGCTTGTGGATGAATGCTCAACTCATCGCTTTGCATGAATTACTCAGTTAATATCATAGAGAAATTGAATGAAATTACATTAATGAATAATTGATTAGTGAACGTTACGAAATCTTTCAATTCGACAATGTTGAGCAGAAGTAACCAACGCAAAAAGTGAAATGACTTGAATGAAGCAAAAGTATGAGCTAGACAAACTTTTTCTTGACTATAATCACATCTAGTCCCTGTTTGATGTAATTAAGATTTTTAATAAATTTGGATAAAAATTGATAAAATGTAATTAAGAAATTGATAAAAGTTGTGAATCTCTTGAAATATTAAAATTAATTATTATTAATTTAAAATTTTATCAACTTTTTAAGTAACAACAAATATGTCGTATTAAAAAGACAAATGTCTATGTGATACATAAAATTGATAAACACTTCCATACAAATTATACGTCTATGTTTGTCAACCATATTTTAAAACCTCTTTTTTTTACTTAAAACTTATTTGTAATCAGATTCTCACAAAAAAATATTTTATAGATAAATAGGGATGTTAACGAGTCGAGTCAAAACTCGAAGCTCGAGCTCAACTCAAGTAAAAATAGTTTAGGCTTTTTTTGGCAGGAGCTAAGACGAGCTTTTGCTAGGCCAAAAATACAAGGATCGACATGAGCTTTCAGCTCGAGACTTGGCGAGTCGAGTCGGGCTAGTTGAGTCTAGCCAGCCCTTTTTTTAATTCGTGAAAAATTTAATATTTTTTTAAAGAATATAAAATTTGTGTAATTTATACAAATTATAAATTAAATAAAAGTTACAATCCTCCTCATTTTCCAAATTTGTGATCGGCCACAATCATTGTAAGTGGAGTTAAAATTGTGTACGAATAAACTATTTCATGTTGAATTTTTATAGAAATAAATAAATTTGAAAATTACATATTTCTTTCGATCTTTTGTGGCCTTAACAGGCTTGCCTGTTAATGCAATTGTATGTAGGCAGCTATGTGTAGGCGAACTGTTCGCTGCCTTAACAGGCAACTACTTTTATCTTTTGTTATGTAGATCAATTAGTGTGGCTCGTCGGGCTAGCTCGAGCTCGAGCTGACGCCCCAAAATGGGGCTCAGCCCAAGCCTCTGCCCGATTTTTTTGGGTCGAGCCACAGGCTGTACGAGCCCGAGAGTCAAATTTACACCCCTACACATAAATAAAATTTTTTTCAATACCTTTTAATCACATTCTCAAAAAAAAAAAAAAAAAAAAAATTTTTTTTTTTTTTTTTTTAAAATTTTTTTTTGGGAAAAAAGGGTTTTGAAAAAAAAAATTTTTTTTTTTTTTTTTTTAAAATTTTTTTTTGGGAAAAAAGGGTTTTGAAAAAAAAAATTTTTTTTTTTTTTTTTTTAAAATTTTTTTTTGGGAAAA